AAAAATTGTGCAAATAAATGTTGGACCAACTCAATCTTTTTTAAAGAAATATGCCAACTTCTTGTTAAAAGGAGAAATGGGCCAGCTTATGGATTTTAGAAGATGGGCCAGCTATTTATTTATTGAGAAAGTGGGCCAATTTGCTTATTTAGTTATGGTATTGAGCCAACATCTATAAAATAAATGGACAAAATATTTATAGACTTCTTAAAGGCATTGGGCCTATTGGACAGAATATGCCTTGGCCCATTATTGAGCTCCGAAAATGGGCATAAGCTGAAAGCCCAATGAATTTCAAATGCTGGTTTACTAAGATAGCCCACCTGGGGTAAATTGCGAGTTCTGGCCTCTTTTGTTCTAAGCCATTAACCCTTATTTTAACTAGCAATTTCAAACACTATTTAAGATCTAGCCACTTTCTACCAAAAAAAAAAAATCTAAAAATCCTAGCAGAGATGGTCACATGTAAAATCTGAATTTTTATCACAATAAATAAAGGTTTCAAGCATGGCTCTTTTTGTTATTTTTCTTTAAAGAATAGCCTATCATAAACTGGCCAGAATTGCAAAGGTGCAAAAGGAGTCTTTAAGCCACATTACAACCTACTTGAAACATCTCATTTTATATGCATCAAAACATATAATAGATAGTAAAGACAAATAACACATGAATAAAGAGTGTTTGATCAACCAAGGATTTATTTTTTACATATGAACTACAACAAGATATATTTAACAATAAAGAAATTTAGCTAAGCACTCATTTATTTAAATGGATATGTCCCAACAATCAAGATGAGTTCCAATCTTCTTGTTAATGTGAAAATATCTGCAACATAAGATTAAAGAGTTACCTGAGTCGCAGAATAATAAATACAACAACGAAGAATGGAAGCTCAGCAACTAAAGCAGCATAAAAACAGCAGCAAAACAGCAGAAAACCAGCAGCAAATCCATATTAAAACAGCCCGAAAACTTCGAGAAGAAACCCAGAAACGAACTCTAAAGAGGACTTATACTTTTCTAAAAGTTTGCACTCTAAGATTCACTCCTAAAGCTCACCATTTCAGCTTACTTTTCATGTGTTCAACTGCTGAAATTTTTTATGTTTTTGTGTGTTTAAGCAATTCTAAAAAAAATGGCTATGGAAGTGTGATCTAGTCTATGGAAGTGTGATCCAGTCCCCTATAATGAAGAAAGGGCAGCCCTTAAATAGGCAAAGAAAAGCCAACTTTTGGAAAGATTTTAGTTCACCAAAAATCTCCCCAAAAGAGGCTGATTTTGTGTGCTAAAGGCTGTCCAAAAGGTGAAAGGACAGCCTGAAATCTGCTATGGCAGGAGCCAAAGGTCACTTCAGCCACCCTACTAAAAGCAAAGCTACTAGTACCCTACAAAATATCTAAATTTCAGATTTTAACAACACCAATATCAACCTATTGATTCAAATTAAACCAAGTATTAAAACATGTAATTAAATTTCAACACATGTATTATGAACCAACATGAGCAAACAAAAATTACCTATTAAAGCCAAACGGAACGCACGATATCGCTGAAGCGATTTAACAAAGACAAACATAATCAGAAATGGATTAGAATAAAGAAACAAGACAGAAACTAACTCTAAACTAAAAACTCAAAACAAAAAGAAAAATTAAAAAATTAATAACGGGGCGGGGATTGCGATTTTACCATATACTCGAGCATCCGGGAGACGACGATAGGCAGTGGTACGACTTTCGAGCAAGCTTCTATTGTTGATATTCTTGAGACCAAAAAATTTGGGTGAATCCGAGTCCGGTTTCAATATATATCAACGACACAACCTTGCTCGAGGCCGGTAGATAAAAAGAAACGGGCGCAGTGGGCGGCAGTGCGGCGGCGCTAGGGCAGTGGTGGTGGCGCTAGGGCGCGTGGGGTTTTTTTGATTTTTGAGTCGGAGATATGGAAAGAGGGGGAGAAGAGGAGGCCGGTGATGTAAAATTTTTGGAGTTTTGGGGTGATGGGCGGCGACTAGGGTTTCGGTTAGGCTTAGATCTACGGAGATTGGTGGAGATTTGGAGGATATGAGTGGTATAGGTAGAAAGAGGAGGAAGAGGGGAAGAGATGGTAAAATTTTAGGGTGGATTGGAGGGTTGCCGCCGGCGGCGGCGATTTTCGGGCGGCGGTTCCGGGCGGCGGTGGGGCGGCGTGGCAGAGAGGGGGGAGAGAGTGATAAGAGAGAAAAAAAGAAAAGAATTATGGGTGGAAATGGGGAAATTTTTCAGATTTTGGAGGCTTTAAATACCTAGGCCGAGAGTCAATGAGAATCCATTGGATCAAGATGGAATGGAGGGGTAAGATTTGATCTTGTTTCATTTAGTGAAACGACGTAGTTTTATTATGAAACTACGTCGTTTTGATCCGGGTCCTGGCAAGCCATCAATTGGTCTGGGTTGGTGCAATTGGGCCAATGATTTGGTCCGATTTTTTAGCCCATTTCACTTTAAAATAACACTAGCCCAAAGTTTTGTTCCTCTCTTAATTAAATCATAATAAAACTCTCAAAACCTACATACACACAAATAAGAACACACACACACACACACACACACAGATATATATATATATATATATATATATATATATATATATATATATATATATATATATATATATATATATATATATATATATATAGAAGTAAAAAAGACATGACAAAAATTAAAGCATTTACACATTCGAGTAAAGAATCTAAAAGTATTTGTTGTTTTTCCAATAAACAAGACCATCCCTACAGGGGTACTACAAGGTTTTGGTGGAAGGGAAATGCAAATGATGATTTTTCTCAATTTCTGTCTAATTTCGATGGGACTAAAAAAGTGACATAGATGTTTACAACTGTTAGATATGGATCAACCATCAAAATATCATGAGTTTCCATATATAGCTCAATATCCAAAAATATATGGAGGGTCCATGATCCATCTTCACCAACCAAATTTCCTAGTCATGTTGTTGTCGAGGGAAACTTCCTTCCGTTTCTAAAATCCCTGTTTATGCAATTCTTTTGGATTCCCACTTGAAAAATAGAATCTCGAAAATAGTCAAACCTTATATACTGCGGATGCAAGATAGCAGGATGGACAGCATCAATTACATTTGATCATTTTATGGCAGTATAAATCAGAACCTCTATTTTAAAAGGCAAAATTGGGACTCGCCCCGGGGCGAAGCACTCGTAAAACGCCCCTGAGCTAATGTATGTGGCTTAGTTTCGTGAGACTTACGCCTCGGTCATCAGGGCTTACGCCCCGAACATGCCCAACGCCCAGCGTACTAGGCTCGCCTAATAGAACTTTATACAATTGTATGTAACTAACCTTGTAAATCTTCAAATTTTCTTAATAATTCGTTGACTATTCAAAACTACTTTTTTCTTAATCATAAATCATTAAGTTGAGAGTATTATATGTCATAATTAAAATAAAAATTATTGCACGTTATCCACTAAGACTGCTATGATAGTTAATTTTAAATAAATCTTTCATTTAAAAAGTATTTATTTATTAAATTTTGTTATGTCTTTACTATATAATAGTCCACACTTTTTTTATATTATTTTTTTAGATATTATTTTTTTCGCATTTACGAGATACAATACTTATTAATTTAATAGCTCAGTATTAGCTAGTAACTATTTACAAATAATTAGTTATCATGGTATTGTATGGTGAATTATGTGACACTTTATTAAATTTTTGAAACTAAAAAATAAATGATGCTAGAGAATCATATATGTGAATTATGTTTTGATATAAATTCACTTTCAAATAGAAAGCCTATTAAATAAAAGGAGTATTTTTAAAAAATATCGAAATCTTTCAAGATTCATTACTCCTTAAGAGATACATATAAGATTTCGTATCGAATGCATTACTTTTGATGTTTGAGTTGTAATGACGTTGAAGCTAATTTGTATATTATGATATATGTCATACTTTTTGTATTATTCATAGTTGAATTATAATTTATAAATATTTTAAATAGATTATTTGTTTCAATTTTTTGATGTTAATGTAATTTTTATAATTATTTTTTATTTTATACTATCTCAAAATTCTTGAAATTAGTAAAATTTAAAGATCCGTGGGACTTACGCCCCATGTCTCAGGGCTTACGCCTGACCTCGTCAGAGGTAAAACGCCTCGCCTCACGCCCCCGTCTTTTATAACATTGATCAGAACATGTTTATTAATTAATTATATCTTAATTTTTTTGCCACTGCACTGTTTAATATAAGTATTTTGTAGCTAAAGGTTTTCAGGGGAGATATTCAAAAATAGCAGATTTACAAGTGGTCGAAATTTAGCCACTTTTCATGTAAAGATAAATCTGAACGAAAACAGTGTTCAAATTTCGGAAAATACTCCAGTATAATATACTGAAATTCCAGTATAATATACTGGAACTCCAGTATATTCCAGTATAATATACTGGAGTTCCAGTATACTTTGCTGGAACTCCAGTATATTATACTGGAGCAAGCAAAGTGTACCGATTCAGCATAATATGCTAGAAGTTCATGCATAGGTGCACCGAACTCCAGTATATAATTCTGGACCGGTCTCTATTGCAGCAAAATAATGGCTTATTTTCAATGACTTGACAAACACTGACTATTTTTGAATGATCAATCCGAAAACTGGCTAGCACTTGCTATTTTAACGATTTTTAGAGCTACTGAAGAACACCAAGGCAGACTTCTATTGGTTCGGGATTTAGGGCCTTCTAGAAACAAGCATGCTCATAGTTTTGGGCCTATTAAATGTACAATATTTCCCAATAAAGGAGGTGTACATTCAGATTCTTAATCCAATCATCTTTCTTCTTTTTTTCCATCATTTCACCATAGGTCTAAATATAAATTAAAAAGAAAAAGAAAATAAATGTACGTCAAAAAAAAAAAAAAATAGATCTACATAATAGGTCCGAGGAAAAAAAAAAAAAATCTACATAATAGGTCCGGCCCAGGAACCAGATGTCCAGATCGAAGAAATTAAAACGGGAAAATAAATAAATAAACAAATAAATTAAAAGCAGAGCAAAATTCTAGTGATTCTTCTTCAGTGCTTCAAAGAAAACTTGAGAAATAATTTTATCCAACAAATAAAATTTGGAAGCTTCAGAAAAATGTATGGGTGAATATAATGACCAAATCCATTTCCAAAATAACTTATCTGTGGGAACAGTTTCATATTCTAGATTTTTCTATTTATGCATTTGTGCTATTGCTTTCTAGGGTTTTCTTCTCTTTCTTCAATCCAAAAGGTACACAGTCTCTTCCTTTTCCACTCTTTCTTATTGATTGTTATTTTTGTTCCATTAGCCTTCTTGATTTTGTTGGGTTAGTCCCGTATTTTAGGTTGTTATATTTAAATCTTTCATATGCTTATCTTTCTTGCCTCTTGGGCTGGTGGTTTTTTTCATTTTTTTTAAATTCTTTGTGCTAATTGCGTTAGGAAAAAAATGGTTAATTTTGTGAAAGATGAGATTTTTATCTGAGTATTGACTTAGCGGAATGGATATAGAAGATTCATTTAGCCGACTCTTAAGTAATTTCGTATTGAAGTGGAGTTGAATGATGGACTTAATGTGAAAGTTTCATTCTTTGGAAGCCTCTTAAGAGATTACATTTTCATGACCCATTTTTAACCCATTGCACAAATATAAGCTGGTAGTTAAATTCATGCATTTGATCTATTTTTGGTATGTTTGCTGATTTAACTCTGAATTCCCTAGATTAGTGGATAACCTTGTCGTTTACTTCCCTCTCTTTTTGAAGGTTTTTGCTCATCGCATCATTTTTTGTGTGTGTTTGGTGAAGACTCAGGTTTTGGAACATTGAATAGATCTAATTACGCAGTAGTTGCTCCATGGAGACACATATTGATTTCGTGCAATGGCTTGACACTGACGTGTCTCTGAACATCCTGATGTGTTTGAAGGATCCAGCTGATGTGGTCCGTGCTGGCTCTGTTTCGCGCCTTTGGCACGAATTTGGTAAGCTATTCAAGTTTTCGTTCTTACTTAAAAGAAACCCGTTAGCATTGTGTTTAGGATGTGAGACTGAACTGGCATTCTTACTTTTTTCATCATTATGTTACATCATTTCTAGTGTTATTAAGCTTCAAAAACCACAGATTCAGTTTTCCTGTTTCCATTATGATGCTTTTCTACTCTTGTCTTATATACTTGGTGTACTTCATCCTGTTACATTATGTGATTACTGTGCCTAAAGATTCATTACTACTTTATTTGCATCTAGAGCTATTTTAAGCAATGTGGATCTGTCTTCAATTTATGCCTTGAGACATGAATCTGAATGAGTAAAAAATAAGTGAAGCCTTGGAAAGAAGAAAGGAGAGATGGATCCTCCAAAGAGTACAAGAATCCGAATCATAATCAGATTTCTTTGATTTCAAGAAAATGTTACGAATGACCAATGATGCAAAATGAATTGATGTCTGAGAGGAGAAACACTCTGCATGATCTCTTGAGGTTCAAAAATTAAGGTTAAGCTTTGACTAAACAAATAAGCCCTTTTTGTTTCCACCCGATATTTACGATTATGATGTTGATGTCACCCCTAAATTTGTTATACAAGTGGTGTGATAATATGATATATTTCCAAACTTGGCTGTGAAGTGCCTTAATATGCCTCTTTTTCTCACTTGTGTCCCTACTCTTTTAGATTTTAGAATCTTTGTCTTGATTTTAAAAGAATTTTTCATAAGTTCAGATTTCTAACAACCTGCTGTCTAAGTGGCTAAGTTAGGAAAGAGTTGAGATAAATATAAGATAAGACCAAATTAATCAGTCTTTATGCTGATTGTTGTTCCTTCTCATGGTTATGGTGTCGAAGGCACACCTCGAAATCGAGAATAAGCTGATTAGGATACATTTTAATCCTGGCAGTGTGGAGCTAGTTGTATGTCTCTTTCTCATATATGCACAGTCTACAGTGTACCTTGTTGCCTTCTGTACTGAACGTTCGAGACCCTTGTCGCTGCATTTCAGAAAAAGATTGGTACAGTAAAGATCTTCCTTCTGTAAGTAATTATACAAAAAAAAAAACATTCATCTCAACTCTATGGACTTGATGAAATTCTTGGGAAGTAATTGTTAAACTAGGAAATAACTTTGACTACATAACGTTGTTGCCTGTTGCCCTTGTCTTTTCCATATTTCTTGGTTGGTCCAAGTTTGACTAATTCAAGTACACTGTGCTGGTATGAGAATTTTGGGACGGTCTAGGTGAATTTGCACCAAGACTTAGGTTAGAAGATGAAAGTATGAAATGATGACTTGTTTGGATTTGGTTTTTAGGAGAATTTTTTCTTTGGTTGTGTCGTGATGGGAGAACTTTCACCAAAGCTTTAACCAGATTGTACATACATCTTTAGGTGCTATGAAATCATACTCTTTTCTTGTGCAAGTGGTGTGCAATGCAATTAGTTTATTTTGAAGTTGGAAGCTTATTTCTGTACTTTGCGCTGCCACAATCCGGCTTTGCTGCCTTTTTGGCTTGACAATGTGCATCAATTCTAAGGATTTTCCAATCTCTTTCATAAGGAAAAATTGGCTCTATTAATCCTTTCTTTGAGAAATCTTGACATGCCAGTTTCCGTCATTGAAGGTTTATTACCATTTGGAAGAATAAAAGAGGTTGATGATTTACTTGTTTATTTGCAGTGGTTACCAATGGACTCTCCAAGCAACTGTGTCTGGGAAGGTTTCCACAGCTTTCTAGGATTGCCCGTATAACAGAATTAGATGCAAGTGCAGCAGAACCAAAAGATGTTGGGTCTAGCAATTCCAACTGGGAGACTTTAAAAAGAGATCATGAAGTTTACGCTTCTCTACTTCAAGCTATTGAAACATCAAAGTCATGTCGAAGTGATTGCATAGGTTATGCAGTCAGTGCTTCAAGCACGGATAATTATCCAGATGAAAGTATTGTCAATACTTTAATTCCAAGGGACAGATATCTAAATAGACCTTCATACTGGTCAAGTAAAGGACACAGTGACCTCAACGCCCCTGAGACGCTAATTTACAAATTGAAAGCTGATGTATGTGTGATCAATGAAGTTGATATACAACCTTTTGAAGGTCAGAAGGTGTCTGTTAATCTTTCTTTGGGGCATTGGATGCCCCCTCAATTTACAATCTGAGTTTCACAGACTTCCGAAGCTTTATTTGGTCCTCTTGTCTAATACGTAATTTTTCCAATTCAGCTTATTTCCAGCCCGGCAAGCCCATTTACTCTGCAAAATCTGTTCGATTTCGATTAGGGTATCCCAAATCCTCGAGAGATGAGAGTGATCTCCTGCAATTGCCCCAGCAACAGCCTGCTGATGACAAGTTTATATGGACATATACTTCTGAAGAATTCCCTATGACACAGGTCTTGTTTTATAACTTCCTTTAGTATTTTCCTGGAAAAGATACTCTTATTTACTCAGTTGTCTATGTTTTTGGTAGAGTAGTTTCCTGATGGTCGGAGCAGTCGTAGTTTTTGTTCTGTTTAAGTCATGTTATAAGTAAAAATTAGTCAAAAAATCTCTCCAAGTCTTTGAAAGGGGTGTCATAGACTAATTTGCATGAGAAGGAGAATTAACAGTTCAAACTTCAATGGCCAGGAAAATTGCTTTCAGCGGTTCAATCTACCCGAGCCTGTGCTTTGCATTGGTGGATATCTGCAGATTCAGCTTTTGGGCAGAGTTCAGAGACAAGAAATGGACGACTTGTTTTACATATGGTTCGTGTTCATCTTTTCTCTCTTTGATTGAAAGGTCTGCTTCATATTTGCTGCTCTATTTATCAGCGAGTTGTTGTAGTGGACTTGCATGTGCACTACTAATAAAGCTCTTGATGCCTAGACTTACTAATGCATTAGGGGAAGAAGATGAAACTGATATTTTGCTATTCAATTACACATTTATAATAAAATAATGTTGTGAGAAAGGTAATGTTTACTTTTATTCATACTGTAGAACCGAGATCGTGCTTCTTTACAAAGTACATGACTTCACGTAACTGTTGTTATTAGCTTTTAAGGAATTGATGAACTCCGTAAATGCATCTTACTATTCACAGATCACTTCTACACCCAAAAAAAAAATTGTAAACAAGAAGAGAGTAAAGAGTGCATTGATATTTGTTTATCTTCTAAGCACTGGTTCCTATCCTACCTAGCCCACATGATGCACAAAGGAATTGTTTCAAATGTCTTATGGTTTCTTCTTCATTTTCCTCACTTTCCAACTCCAGAAGACTGCATTGTCTTTTTTGTTTTGTTGATGAAGTGGTATTATAAATGGCATCAAGTAAATGCATAATAGCAGAAGTACAAAAGTGAGAGTTTGTTAGCTCTATTTCAGTGAGACCTATGCTAAGGATAAAGAGCTAACAAAGTCCAAAAGCTTGACATGAGAATCTACAGGGGACAAACTATACCAGCTACATAAATTTAAAAGACAACTAGCCTTAGGGCGTGGTTTGGAGTTGGTATTTCCATCAAAACATCTCATTCCAAACACACCAAAAAAATACAAGGAGGAACCATTTTCCAGACTTGTCTGATGGATTTATCAACTTTCCAAGAGAACCAACTGTGTAGGCATCCTTGATACTGTTAGGCATGACCCATCTTAAACCAAAAACTGTGATGAACATGTGCCAAATATCAGTAGCTACTGTTCAATGTAGAAGGAGGTGTCTGTTAGTCTCTATATTCTGTCGCGCACATGTATCTGTTAACAGTGGGGGGGTGTTCCTTCTATTGAGATCGTCCTGAGTCAAACATGCCTCATGTAATGTTATCCAGCTGAAGCTTATCACCTTCTTAGTTCTCCAAATATGTTTCCTAGGCCAGGTATCCACCGTTTCATTCTGCGCACATAATGATGAATATCCTGCCTTCACTGTGTACTGTCCATCTGTCTTTCCTTCCCATCTGATTCTGTCAGCAGCCTGCTCATTGATTGTGTAACTCCCTAAGCTAGTAAGCATGCTAGTCAACTCTTCCAATTCCCAGTCTTGGAAGTTTCTTCTGAAGATAGGTGCCCAAGTGTTGCTGTCTCTGTTCTGGAGTGGTAGAATTGGGGTTTCTTGCGATCGAAGACGGAGCTGGGAACTCTTTCTGTAGTGTAGTGTTAATCTGGCTTTGCAGATTTTCATAGTTTGGGGAGAATCATCCTTAAAATATTTTTCGGTAAATTATATTATAATTTCTTAATCACGACCCTTTTGGAAGTCAATACGGTAATTGAAGGCTCCCAGGAACTTGGTGTTCTTCAGATAGTGCAAAGTTGAATGACTTGATAATTCTATAGCAATCACGAATGTTCTGTTATTTCATTTGTTTTTTTGGTATAAACAGGAAATACCATTTCTTATAGATGGTTTATTCTTGGGATGCCAAGTACGTACTTAAACTGTATTTACTTTTTTCTGCTTGGTGTATCAATGCAATTATTTGACTTTTCAAATAGTTATCAATGTACTGACGGGGAAGAAGGCTGGTTAGTTATCAATAATGTGATCTTGACAATATTTCATTCCTCTGTGCAGTATTTGTCATGTGAAAGTTGTAGGGCGACCTCTCAGCCCTGCATTCGACATAGAGGTCCTAGAACCGTCTCGAGAATTTGTACTGAAGTACAATCGAGATGTTTTCGGTTGCATGTTGCAGAGCATGACTAATGGAGGTCATCAAGAATCAAATGTGCCTCAAACACCATCAGAGGGATTTGTGCTTGATGCAGGCCTTCTGGAGTATTTATTACAGGGTTACCAGCCGGGTGTCGAACCCATGGAATGGGACGAGGACGATGATGATGAAATGGATGAACCCTTGTAGATGAGACTACAAGGTTTTAGAGGTGCATAAACCCTTGTAGATGAGACTGTATTACTGATGATCCGTTGTAGATGCTTGTATTAGGCTTTTGCATTTTTATCAAAGAAGAGTTGCACTATTGTGCATGCAATGACATTTTCATTAGCGGGTTGGAGCTTTTTGTTAAAAGATATCACTGTATTTCGTTTGTTTGCTGTTTTCATTGGATTGATTATACAGAATCGAAGACGGTACTCAATTTCTTAAAATCATCTGATTGTTCACTGCTAATCATAGTGATATTTGAATCATGATGAACCATTAATGAGGAACTAATCCATATAATAATTCATATAAATAATAGTAGTATATAAATTCGCTAGATAACTTGTGCGGAGAAAGTTTGATCTTTAAGTTTCTCAGCGTTTAATTAATTTTACATCTAAAATTATGTGTTCATTCTGTAATTTTTGAAGTATTTGTTAGTTTTATAAAAACTGAAACTTTGCCCTGGTGTAACATTAGTTAATACAGATTATAACAAGGAGACGACCCATAGTGCATTATAATGTTTGACGAAAAGAATACATTGCCGTAGTCGCGTTTGATGTCCAAAACGCACATAGTAATAGTAATTAACGAAAAAAAAGTACAACTAGTAATATATACATGTCCAAACAGCAAAGCTACATATGCCCAAATCACATTCTTTCTTTTTAAGCATTACACTAAAGCTCTTTCTCTCTCCTAATTATGGCAGTTGTGGATGATTCGACGCGACGGAGTGAACTCTTCTGCCGTGTTGTTTTCTCTGGCGGAGCCCCCCTGGTCCATCGTACTGGAGCGATTCGAGAAGAACACTAGTCTCATATTCTATTCTTTGTGCAATAATGCTTATAGATGAAGTGCTTCGTTTCCGCGTACAGTAGACTCCTTGTTCCGCTCATCCCCTTTTAAGTCCTCTCACTCTCAGGGACGGATAGAACAGCAGAATGTGTTGGGTTAAGTCCCGCAACGATCGCTACCGGACAACGCGCTACATACAATGTTTCTTCTCTTTCTCAATCTGGGGTTTGCCTGTTAAAGTCAGAAACAAGATACTCTATGTAAAGGTATTTCATTCTTATATTTCTGTAATTCCCCTGCTTCATTCTTGGTCAGTTTATAGTTTCTTGTACAACTGTTTTTTCTTCTTCTTGATGTTACTACCTCTACCTCAGTTTATGAACATATTTGCAATGTAGAGTATGTATATTCCAGTTGTATAATTGTGGTAACTGGTAAGTGTTGTGTGTGTGTGAACAAAGTTCTATAGGAAGTAGAAAAGAAAAAGAAGCTTCTTGTAAGTGCTTGGATACTCTTAATAGTGTGAGGCCTTTTGGAAACCCGTGCGGGCTTGGCTCAAAGTGGATAATATCATACCGTCTTAAGAGTATCTTTGGGCCATTTTTATGGTCTCAGAGTCAATGATTTGGCGGGACGAGTATGGAGATGACGGAGTGTAGCGTGCGACCTGACTTAGTGCCTTTGCCCGTCACAGGCCAATTACGACCCTTTGCCCGTAGCTTTAAGCCTCTCCCTTGGGCTTCGGTGACCATACACAACCTCTCCTTTGGGCTTCGGTGACCAGAGATACTCGGATGATGTGGGTGACACACCGTTAATCTCTAAATTAGCCAATGAGTTGTGATGGGTCTCGTAGAACTTAGTTTTAGAGGGAGATTGTTGAGTGTGTAGACACAAAGTTCCACATGGAAAGTAGAAAAGAACAAGAAGCTACTTGTAAGGAGTTGAATACTCTTAATGGTGTGAGGTCTTTTAGGAAAACCGTATGGGCTTGGCCCTAGCGGACAATATCACATCGTATTGAGAGTATACAACTTTGCATATCCCAGCAATGAGTTGTTATAATGCTAATGGTTTAACATTTTCATTTAAAAGAAAAAAGAAATGAAACTAATGGTTCTTCCGGGGCAGGTTCTAAAAGTTCTCTGGTAACTTGCGGAGTAGTCTGCTAATATGTCTTGTTTATTGCCTATTTGAGCAAATTTCTGGGCTCTAGCCACCAATGTGCTGCTGGTTTGGTATGTCATAATAATCAATAAGTTGTTCATAGAGGTTGACATTTACTGAGTTTTAGGGGGAAAAAACAACATTGTATAACTGTTCACGGTGTGACCATCCAAGTTTGTTCGAGCACTAGACAGTCGCTTATATACATTTAGTGAAACACTAGCATATCCAAAACATTAATGTCTCAGAAAGGAGAAATCTTTTCTATTCCAAATACAGAATAACTCTTATTTAAGTTCATTGAACTAAAGGGAGCTTAAGCGTATTTAATTTTATTGCTTATTATTATACCAATATATTGTTCTATTTCTTGCTATCAAAGAGGCCAGAACTTTGAGCATGCTTGTTTTTAGACAGGCCTAATTGATATGATCGATCTACGAGTTATAGGTCCGGCCCAGGAACCGTCTTGATCTTATTACGTTTCAATCCCAAATTTGGTAAATTCAGTTATAGATCTTCTAAATCCATTCTGCTCTATTTGAGTTTATTTTATTTCCATACTAGTTGTCTTTTAAGTCAAATTCGGGCTTTCCCCAAATCAGGTTCTTTTATATAACACTTGTCCGAACGGCTAAAACTAGTGTACGAAGCTCTAGCCAGACTACAAAGATTTTCGGCAGATTGCTGGACCTAAGGTTAACAAGAATAGCTAAAATTTAGTTCTAATTAGATGTCATTTCTTATATGGTTCCTTTGTTTCTAGTTATTCTATTCTTAGCTAAATCTTTATTGATTTACAGAGAATTTAAGTCTTTTGGAACAATTTTTCTATGTGATTTTAGGCTTATTTCATCTTCTTTTAGCACATTCAATCATTACAGTGTTGCACTTACTCATTAATGCATTTGGATGTCTACGTAGAACATGGTAAAAACAATCTCAGGCAATTATTTATTTTCTATGTGTGCTACTGCACCCTTTGTTCAATGTGATCAATTCTAAACTTGTCTAACACTATATGATTGCATTCTATCTGAAATATATATTTTTTCGATTATATGTTGGGTCTAAGATATTTATATGCTGGGTCTAAGATATCCCAACACTCGCTCTCATACAACATTGTTAGTCTCGCAACCCTTCAATATGCTTACATGTCATTTGTTACGTATCTTCTGTCCAGAGGCGGATATAAGATTTGAGGTCTATGGTTTCAATCTTAAGATTCTTAATGTTGAACCTATACATTTATTTTCCAAGTTATGGGTTCATATCTACTATTTGTTGCAATTATAATAATTTTTTACACATAAATTTATGCTCCGAGTCGAAAGTAGTGGGTTCCGATGAACCCGGTACCTTCATGCTGCATTTGCCCCTGCTTCTGCTAACCATTTCGCACAATACACTCATAATATCCATTTCAATCATCATATTTGATTTTATGTGTTATGTCTCCATCAATCATGTCATTCTCTTAGAGGACTAAGACTAAATACTTAAATTGTTACATTCAATCGTGTCTAATTTCACTCTGTTCTTCTTGAGGAGTCTAATTTATAACACATTTGTCCTAACTTATTTCTATCAATCCTAAAACTTTTACCCTCGTTATTGCTACCCTATAGTTTAACTTTTGATTGAGTCTCTTGTTAATTTTTTCAGGTAACACAAAATCTATCTACAAATAGCATGCCCATAAAACCCCATCCTCTGTACTCCTGTTTAACTATAAGTTGTTATCCCACAGTTGCAGTGACCCCTCCTGTGATTCCTTTTTTTAATTTATTTTGTTGTATGATCATCATCTGCTGTGATTCCTCATTTTTGCTTTTCATTTCTTTGGTTGGATGGTATTCCAGTTTTTCTTCGTGGTGCTTGTGAATTGGAAAATTGGTTAAAGTTATGAAGGATGAGATTTTTATGAGTATTGACTTGATGAGAAAGTTTCATTTTTTGAAAGCAGCTTAAGAGAAGCCATTCTCATGAGCCTTTCCATTACCTCAAGCGCAAACATAAACTGGCATTTAAATTCATTTTTGTATATTTTACTTCACTCTCTGACTTTTTCAAAATAATCCTTCTTTTGCTTTTTGCATGAACTATGTGTTTTGTGATGATTCAGGCTTTGGAACTTTGAGTAAATTTGCTTTGTATGGAGACACTTGTCGATTTTGTGCAATGGCTTGAAATTGACGTATCTCTGAACATTCTGATGCGTTTGAATGATCCAGCTGATGTGGTCCGTGCTGGCTCCGTTTCACACCTTTGGCTCCAATTTGGTGAGTCGTTCAACCTTTAAATTTTTTAAATTAAAGTAGTTATAGCCTTGTTAGTGCACTTACTTAGGCAGTGAGTGTGAGACTGAAAAACTGTTCTCTTTTCATCATAATACTACACTCTAATGATGTCATGTATCACAAATGATAGGTCATAGGCTGCATCTTCCTATTTCCATTGTGAGACTCTTCTACTCTCTGTCCTATCCTTGCTATACTTAAAATGCCTAAAAGCTCATAGTTTCTCTTTCTTTATATTCTTCAAATTGTTATAGATATCTAAGTAAATGGCCTTTCTGCATTGACAATATTCTCTACAGTACTACATAGCAATGTTCTCTGCTATTTTGTATTTTCCATGTTTCTTGGTTAATCCAAGTTTGAGAAATTCAAGTACGATCTGCTGGTATTGGAATTCTGCAATGATTTAGGTGATCCGCCTAAGACTTAGGTTAAAAGTTGAGAGTACCAACTGATGAACTTTCATCCTCTCAATCTGCTAGTTTTATGAGATCTGGTGTGGCAGTGAATTTGTTCCACCATGCTATAGGTGTCTTGACGTTAGTTATGAGAATCACTTTTCCAATGGGAAAAACGATAGGGTATCAAATATTCCTTTGTAAATTAGTGACAATATGGTATTATACTGTTAACTTCTTTCACGCACTTTCAATTTGTGTGAGATGCATTAATGCAAATGTCCGGCATGAGTTTGGGGACCCCTTTAGGGGCAAATCACAAGGCAGAGATGTTGTGGGCAAGGGGAGTTAGAGAAGTGCGGGAAGAGATTAGCAAACTGGAAGAAGCAATATTTATACTTAGGTGGAAGATTGGTCCTCATAAACAGTGTGTTGGATGCCCTTCCCACATATACCAAGTCCCTCTTTCCAATGTCAAGAAAGTGGGGAGAAGAATAGATAAGTGAAGGAGGGATTTCGTTTGGCATGAAAACAGATAAAATAGGACTTATAACCTGGTGAAATGGAATTTGGTCACCACGTTTTAGAAGGCAAGGGGGTAGGAGTAAGAAATCTTAAGACGTAGATTAGGACTCAGAATAATAGCCTTCTTTTTAAATGGCTATGGAGATTTAATAGAGAAGAAAATGCCATTTGGAGAAAGACCATTAAAGAGAAGTTTGGTATGGAGGATCACTGTATCACTAAAAACCCGAATCATTCTTATAGCGTAGGCAATGGGAAGTACATCAGAAGGATGTGGGATCAATCTTCTGAGCAAGTTCAAGTTAAGGAATGGAAGGGAAATTCTCCTTTGGCAAGATGATAAAGTGGAGTGATATATAACAAAATGGCTGCTTTTTAGTAAAGGAATGCTGCAAGAGTTTGACTGGAGAGAATGATCAGAGTATAGGTGGCCTTCGATTCAAATATGGATGAATAGAGCTCCTCTCGCAATAGAATGATTTACATGGTTAGTAGCAAGGAATGCATGCTTGAAAAAAAAAATCTGCAGAGAGGTATGCATATATGCAGCATATGTGTTTTATGCAGGGAGAGCTCTGAAGACATGAAACTAAGGAGCTATTGAAGTGCTGAACGGAGGAGGCATAAAAACAGACAATATGGTTGATGATATGGAAGGAGAGATATCAGAGATATATTATGATGGACGACATAGAGCATACACAGATTGAAGCATAGTTGTAATATATTTTTTTAGCTTTTTGGTGTAAGGAAATGAAATATGACATCCTTAACTCCTTAACTGGGCATTGGGGTACAGAGTTTAAGCTTATCCTTGAATATAACCTGATCTATCTAGTTGACTGTAGCTTGCTCAGTTTCATCTTGTTTAATAAATTAATTGGTAGTGTTTTTTGAACTATAATTACTACTTCCTCCGACCCTTTTTACGTGAAGGTGATTGACTAGGCACGAAGTTTAAGAAATTAAGATGACTTTTGACGTATAAGCCAAATATATGCAAAGTACCATAATTATACTTTTAAGCGGGTGGTGGTAAGAGTTCCACGTGTCATTTATTTTCTCTCTCCTTTTAAAAGAATGAACTTTCATATAAAGTGGGTCCCAAGTCCCAACAGGTCTGGTTATTTAGGATAAAATGGGGGTTGTAAGATTAAACAGTTTCTGAAAAGACAAAGGTGATATTCTTTGTGGGACAGGCTAAAAAGAGAAATGTGACACATTAAGCCAATGTTTGGCTAAGCTTATAAGCTGGTCAAACTAGCTTATAAGCACTTTTCGGCTTATCTACGTGTTTAGTAAAGTTAAAAGTGCTTATAAGTCAAAAATAAGCCATAAGCTGGTCACCCCCAGCTTATGAATTTTTAGCTTATAAGCACTTTAAGTTTGACCAAGATTTTTACTATTTTATCCTTAAAATATTCTTTTTTTGGAACAAAACTCTTACATCGATACTCACTGCCTCAAGTATTGTTTCAACCTCCCCCCCCCCGCCGGCCACACACACACACCCCACCCAAACCCAATCCCCCCGCCGCTTCAAGTCTGCAATTCTCATTGACTATTTAAGATAAGCAAATTCTCTATTCCTTTGCATATTTGTATCTATGTGATTGTGTATTAATCTTTGAACTGTATGTAATAAATGAGGACATATTAAATTTTTGATGTATTGCTTTCTAAGTGTTGTGGTGATGAAGACAATGTTTGTTTCTCTTCAAATATTTTGTCCTATTTAGGTTTATTTTTTACTGAGAAACTTTTGTCAATTTATTAATTATTATAACTTATGATTATATGCTTATCATAAAATAAATTATATTTATCATAAAAGTTATCTTATCTAAGCACAGTTGTATTTAAAATAAAATGACAAATAGAATATTTTGTATTTGAATCGATCTGGAATCTAAAATTTTGAAGAAATTACGCCCTTATAGGTGTAAACAGTTCTAAGGTTATTTAAGTCATTATAACAGAAAAAAAGCTTATCAGCACTTTTTTATCAAATACGGCAGCAACTTATTATCAATTTCAGCACTTGTATCCAAACACATAACTACTTATTTATTAAATCAGTTTCAGCACTTAAAAGTGTTTTTCAGCACCTAATGCTTATCAGCTACTTCAAATCAGCTAATCCAAACGGGCTCTAAATGGGACAGAGGAGTAATTTGAGACACTACATATCATATTTTTCCTTTGGTAGTAGGTGGAAACTTAATGACTATACTTTGGACCATCGGTGTTCCAAGCTTCATCAGCATCTTCTGGCTTTATGATGTGGCATCAATTTCCTTGGATTTCACAATCTTTGATCCAGAAAGTTGATGCTATATTAAGCTTGGATGCCATTGTTTTCTACTTGAACAAATAGATTGATGGTTTACTTATTTACTTACAGTGGTTACTAATGGACTTTCCAAGCAACTGTGTCTGAGAAAGTTTCCGCAGCTTTCTAGAATTTCACGTATAAGAGAACTAGATTTGGGAATAGCAGAAGGAAAAGATGTAAAATCTAGCAATTCCAGTTGGGAGACTCTAAAAAGAGACCATAATGTTTATGCTTCTCTACTTCAAGCTATTGAAACATCAAACTCATGCCAAAGTGATTGCATAGATTATGAAGTCAGCGCTTCAAGTACGGACGATTATCAAGTAAGTGTTTGGAATACTCTGGTTCCAACAGATAGAAACCAAAATCAACCTTCATACTGGTCAAGCATAGGGGACAGTGATCCCAATGCCCCAGAGACGCTAATTTACAAATTGAAAGCTGATCTTTGCGTCATCACTGAAATTAATATACAACCTTTGGAAGGTGATTGTCAGTTTCTTTCAGTCTCTCTTATCATTACCTCGGGACATTAGATACCCTCTCAACTATTCACGATCAGACTTACAAAGCTTTTTTTGCTGCTCTTTTGCTAATATGCAAATGTTTCCAAATCAGTGTATTCCCATCCAGGCAGGGCCATATGCTGCCCAAAATCTGTTCGATTTCGATTAGGACACCCCAAATCCTTAAGAGATAAGAGGCGTCTCCTGCACTGGCACCCTGATCAACCTGCTGATGACAAGTTTATATGGACTTATACCTCGGAAGAATTCCTTATGAGACAGGTGCAGTTATTAACTTTACTTTTTCCCAAACACAGACGATCTTATTTACTAAAAATTGTCTTTTTCTTTTTGTTGGTGGAGTAATCTCCACCGGTGGAGGCACGAATAAGCTTGTTCTCAAGGCGCAAAGTCTTGTCCTAAGTAGGTGGAATAGTTCTCTGCTGATGGGGAGCACTAGTAGGCATTACTCTGGCCAAGGCTTCTGAATGTTGTCATAAGTAAAAAGTATACTAGGTTAAACATCATCTCCAGGCCTTTTAAAGAAGTGTCAGAGAATAATTTGCATAGGAAAATTAACAGATCAAACTTTGATGGCCAGGAAACCCAGTTGCAGCAGTTCAAGCTACCAGAACCAGTGCTTTGTATTGGTGGATATCTTCAGATTGAACTGTTGGGCAGAGCTCTGAGATGTGATGTCGACTTGTTTATCGACGACTTGTTTTACATATGGTTAGTGTTCATCACTTCTCTGTCTTAATTGAAAGTTCTGTGCTGTATTTATTGGTCAATCCATCAGCAAGATGTTGTAGCTGGACTTGTCTCTGTACTACTAATAAGTCTTCAGATACCTCGAGCAATTAATTTCCTAGCAAAGAAGTTGAAACCCATATATTTGCTCTTCAATACATACATTTCCAACTCAAGAAATGACGCCTAAGTATTTAAATTTTGGCAATGTTGAAAGAACTCTACTCGAACTAGAGAACAATGTAACGTCATTATATATACAGTTGCCAATTATACTAACAAAATATTGATCTATGTTCCTTTTCCACTCTGTTTTTAATCTAAGTCCATGTTTACCGCTCACTACTTTTAGACAAAACATTTATCCCTTTTCGTTATCTTCTGTCTTCTTCCTTTTCCCATCATTCTTCTGAATGGCATTGTGGAGGAATGTGGATGTCAATATTCACTACCTTCTCAGTGTATTTACAACCAAAATTACTGAACTAAGAAAACTTCCTAATTAGGAAAAATGAAGCAGACACTCATGTATCATTCCAAGGTACTAAAATCATAAGATTACAGTGCAAAGAAAAAATTCAATCTTCATCAAGAAAAAGGGAAATAATTCTATCCTGCTATCATTTGAGTTAACAGAAAGCAGAAAAGGGAAACAAAAAGGGGTAAACAGAGGGAACTTGTTTTCACTGGAAATTAAGATTATTTAAGAAATATGAAATGTCAGTTGTGGATTCTATAAAGAACTGTCTGGAAGAATGTTTGTCTTTTAGTTTTATTGATATAATACAGTTGACTCATATGTGCAGCATTCGTCATGTGAAAGTTAGAGGACGGCCACTCACTCCTGCCTTTTACGCACATATCATTCGACCGTCTGGAGACTTTGTGCTCGAGTACAAAAGAGATGTTTAATCTATGTTGCAAAGCTCGTGTCTTCAACACCAAAATGTACCACCTCCAATACTCTACTGAATTATTTATACCTGCCGGTTTTGAACAATGATGAGGACACTTAAATGTATGAAACAGAATTTTTGTGACTTAACGTTATGATTTTCTTTTCTTTTATGTTTCTACATTACTTTGCAAGTAAAAACCGTCCATTCTCTTTGATGGTTTGTTACTACATAGTCTCCCACCAGTTCTTTTTAGTTTTAGAGCTGCATAAGCCACTTGTAGATGAGAGTATCTTGTTTCTGTGTTTTTCTTTTATCACATAGTTAAACCCTATCGTACAGGTGGAATGACAAGTTCATCAGCATTGGAGTAAAACAAATCTCTAGTCCTCACAACTAGAGACGCTTCGATTTACTGTTGACTATGATCTGGAGATTATTTTTTTGATCGGTAAACTATGAACTGGAGATCTTCTTTAAGTACAATATGTTGCCTTCAAAGTTCAAATGCCATACATTCAAAATGTAGTAACTCTAAGACGCAGCATATCATTATTAAAGTTCTGTTCCAAAATGAAAGATGCAGTAAACAAGGTAAATTTTCACTGTAACATGTAGACAAACTGCTAAGACTTCCACTGCAACATGTAGACAAACTGCAGAAATTCATAAGCAGTATTTATATCATAAATAATTATTTAGTTATCTTGGGAATTCTTCAACGGCATCAGAGCCTTTTTACGATGTCTTGGCCTTTGCCGGTGCTGGAAGCAACTGCACAAGGAAAATAAGACATCTCAATACACTTACATCAGAAGTTTAGATAAATCTGAAAAGACTTCTTGAAGTTACGTTAATCTAAGGTATCCAAAACTTACTCCTTATTTCAGTATGCTTTACTCTCCTAAATTGTAAATTATTTCCACTTTTATTTTTTATTTTTATAAGTAATAAATTATTTCCACTTTAGTTGATAGTATCACTTGTAGCTTAAGTAGACCAGGAGAAAATGAAAACATAACTTGACATACAAAATTGATATATACCTGATAACATGATATCAACGAGGTAACAAATCCAAAGGCTCCTGTTACACGAGGAGTGACTTTCTTAGGTGCCAATTGCAGCAACCCAACAGCAACAACTATATCCATGCCTGCTTTAATCAGGGCTAGAGACCTCTCATTGGACTTCTGAAGCTTACTCCAGTATTGCTCATTCTACAATGCAAGATTCACAAACATCAGAATGTAGAATAATCTTCAAAGGGAAATTCCACAGTGCTACTAAATAACCATAATGCATGATGCCTGGAATTGGCAAACCTTATATTTGTCGGTATTCTTAAGTTCCTTCTCCAGCTTTTTCATTGATGCTGAAAGCCTTCCGAGCTCCCCAATCTGGAGTAACAAAAGTGTAAGACAAGCTATTCGCATAAAAGCAAACACTTGGAGCAATGATCAAGCACTAATTTCACATGCCAAACAGTAAGGTAAGAAATAACCTCCACTAAGGTAGTACATATCGAGGAACCCATCCAACAAAAGAGAGATATCCTGCCAATTAACTCGTGGCGTTCTTTGTTCTATGTAAAACAAAACAAGAATGTTAGAACATTTTCCCTTCACTATCTTCTCTCTAGAGAAATTGAACGACTACACAATACAAGAAAAAATTATTACCTTGTAAATGCCTGTCCTCCCAAGCCACACAATTTGATCCAGAAACAAGAAAGTTGACAGCAATGCATTTTTTGACTGAAATAACCAGCAGCATTGTCAGACAGGTAATACAAGAATAACGAAGAGACCACAAAAAGAGAGAGCCACTGTTTACCTTTCCCAACAAGATGAGAGGAAGTGGGGTTCCTGGGGCAGGTGGGCTAATAAGACCATGCAGATCATTGATAAACTGCAGCAGAAACGGTTAACACATAATAGATAATGTTGAACATCAATGCTATTATTAGTACCACTCTTTAAAACAATAGAAATGAATGGGTTAACATGAATTGTCCTTACCTTGAACAGACGGAACACTTTCCTTGCTAAGCTAGTTGATTTATCAACATTTTGTGCAGTGCCAGGCTCTCCATTACTCAGGAATTTTGAACCATATTGTATAGCCCTGCATATCTTGTCCCTTGCCTCCGCTTTGTTCAAGTACAACACTGCTAGGGCAAGCTCTGCTCTGGCAGCATCTAGGCTCATTTTACTCTATGGAAACTGCAAAATAAAAAATTACAAGGTTAACATAATAAGAAAACTGGAGATGTGATAGAAAGACAAGATACAACACTTGCCAAACTGATTACTTCTCTAATCGACTACCATTTTGTAGGTTTTCTCAAGAAACATAACAAACTACGATGAGCCCCTAGAGCGTGCCTACGAATCCGGATGTCTAGAGTCTAGACTACTCTAAGCATGTGTATGTCCATTGCTTGTAAGTTTCCCTTTCAAAAAGAGGGGGGGGGGGGGGG